AAACGTATCCCTTAGTAATCCCGGGCTCAACTTCAGTACAGGGACTATCTTTGCGTTCAACCTCAGAGGTTGCTTTAGGACTGGGCACTACATAATGTTTCAAAGATGGCGAAGATTTACTGACCTTGAAGATTTCATCATTAGAGGCCTTTCCTTCGTTAAATTCTTGACCCAGTATTTCATGCTTAAGATTTGCCACCTCAGCTTGATTTTGAGCGGAAATCACAGCCATTTCGTCTTCTCTTTTCTTTCGTAGTAGGTCGAGCTCTCGTTTTCGACATTCAAGTTTCCAGTCTAGTTCCCTTTGAGCCATTTCTTCTTGAAACTCCTGTTCACGTACTTCATTGTCTCTCTTAACTCGTTCGGCAAGCTGTTTTGCTTGAAGGCTTGCGATGGAGGCCTTTATTTCAGCGTCTCTTCTTCTTTTTGACGAGGACGACGAAGAACTAGAGCGAGAAAGCGCTTTCGAATGACCAGAATCGACCTGGCTTACCGAATCTTCAGGAGTCACTTCAAGGCTGCTGTGAAGCGGTGATATCACACATTCGTCAACCAAGTGCCACGATTCTTGATTGCTCATCGTGAGCGACTGATTTGTATCCGGCTCGAATGGACCAAAATTGGTAAGACCAAATTATACGAGAATTTTTATATTACGACGTCAACACAACAACGTTACAATTCTGGTGTTCTCGCGTAAGCAGTCTTGGGTATAGCGTTACAACAGTTGCGATGGCCAGCGGCCGCCCCACTAGCAAAAGAGGAGAATAGGAAATAGCACCAACATTACTGATTCTATCAGGAAACGACTCTTATTTTGACTGGAAGGAGTCACTTGTTGGGAGAACAGCTGGATGCAACGAAAGAGAAGAAAAACGGTATAGAAAACAAGAACGTGGCGACAAGAACGAATGGCCGAAGGTATATGAGCGAGATGTTCTTATGATGAACGTGAAGGTAGTTCCTTGGTAAACTGACGATACGGCTTTGAGGGATGTTTGTTGATTGTTTGTTTTGGGTTTTTCGGTGCTGGAGTCATTGTTGGAAGAGTTGGAGGAAGACGAGAAGTAGTTTTGGACCTTTTTATCAAAAATTCCTAGATTCGCCCCTAGTTAGCAAAACTTGTTAAGATCTAATGGAATGAAGAGCTGATGTTTTCTTTTTCTTAAGATATTTCATTGTTCCTACGTTAACAATGTTTATTAGCTGTTCAGAATTGTTAAAAAAAAGACTTACAATTGCAGTTTATTTACCCTTTGACGATTTTGGTGTCATGACAACTTGTTTCCATAACAACCCCGATAAACAGAGAATTGCGCCTGATGCGCGGATTTCTTAGGGGATATTCACTCATTTCACCGTAGATTGTCAAAATACAATGCTTTATGCGATGAATAACCAACTCTCTAACACGAAACAAAGAGGAACCCTGGAAATCACACCATTAACACAATTAGTTGACTTTAAGACAAACTTTCATCTTTCCTCTCTACAGAAAAGTTTTCCTCTAGTTCCGTGCATATGATTGATCGTTAGGTTTGTATCTTTCTCTACTGAACCACAGAGCTTACCATTGAATTCGCAGCAGTCCTTCGTTATAACCACACGTTAATTAGTAGGCCTTTCAATCGCGTAAAATGCTGATTTGAACTAATGGAATCTGATTTAAAGTAATCTGAATTGAGGTTTAATTGGACGTTATATAATTTCGCAATTTCTTTTAAATCTCATTAGCATTTAAAGTTGTTTGCTCTAAGTAGTCGGCTCTGATTAACATGACTAGTCTTCTCAGCGGATCCCTTTCATTTCATAAAGAGCGCTTTGTCGTTAGGTGAAGCTTGGCAATTAAGAATATTACCTATCAAAATTTGCGGTATTTCACAATGACGGACGATGACACACCCTGTCCTAATTACAGCACAACAGATGCCGCCTGCTTCTCCCAACCTATAAAAAGGGCCGCATAACTCACAGACGGTTGCAGACAGAAGTCAACTACCAAAGATTGCATCGACAGATCGAGACGAAAAGAAAGGGAGATACTAAGGAGAATCGGTAAGCATTTTAAGAAGAAGCAAGAAATGCCAATCAAAATAATGACACCAGAAGAGAGCAAAGAAAGCGACAGTAACATAGCTCAGTATCCACAGGAGGCTAGACGTCGAACCAGTGAGACTAATGTTCTGGATCTGCGAAGACAAGAACATCAAGAACAATCAAATAGCTTCCAGCAAGAAGCAGATCCCGAACCACGGTCCTGTAGCGCAGTTACTTCACGAAGGACCAAGTGCCAGTGTATGCTCAGTGACAAATCGTTCTCTAAGGATTCGCGTTTGACTGAAAAAGCCAAAGAATTCACACCAGAACCGATGCAGACCTTGGAATTGGAAATCTTCAAACCCTTGGATTTCTACGAGCTTTTGTTTAATAGAATGAAAGCAAAATAAAATGGCGAAGCAGTCGTCAACTCAAACTCAAGGGAATTTTCCGAAAAAGGAAAATGATACCAATAACCTACAAACAGGCTGCAGTTAGTAAGATCTTTGACTTTATTCACAGATAAACAAAACTGTTTTGATTAGCAATTGACCGCTTGAGTTGCATGACGCAGCTTTTCGTCTCTGTATCCCACATCTTCCCTGGTGGACAGATTTTACGGATTGTCTGACCTCCTCGGCAGGTGATATAACCATACGGATTATGTATATCGGCGTAGTCTCCATCAGCAACTCCTGCGCACAAATTTACTAAGATAGAAATGATAAATAAACGAAATGGAGAGATGAAATAACCGAAATATCTTCAACCAGTTTTTGGAGTCTTGTAAGTCGAACTGAGTTTTACTAATGAACAATGGGGGTAAGCTTCTTCAGAAACTGTGTTGCTGCGTCGGTGAGGGTAACAAGGTAATTTGGTTTTATCGACTGAGTTAATAATGTAAATTGGCCACCGTTAAGAGTTTAAAAGTTGACGTTTCGAGCGTTAGTCCTTCGTCATTTGCTCTTACGAAGGGCTATCGCTCGGAACATAAGCTTTTAAACTCTTTAGGGGGGGCCAATTCACATTATCGACTCGGTCGATAGAACCAAATTACAGAGTATCACTAATTTGCAAATTGCGCTCTGTGATTAAATCAAAACTAAACTGTTCCACAAGTTCAGTTAGCAAAACGAAGTGCGATGATAAACAGCAAGATAGTGATAGAGGAGTGAAAAGACCGAGGAGGCTTGGATCGCGTCGCGTAACAACCCGACCCAGACCTCTCTCTACTATTACGCCGCTTACTCTTTCGTTCCCGGTAACACAAGGCGAGGTCAAATTACATAATTCGTCACATGCAGATCATATTCTATCACCACTTGTTCCTGAGGAAGTGGTTTTTGTAAAAAAAAAAGTAAACTCTCACTAGAACCAAAATTAAAGACTAGATTGACATAAAGATGGTCAAACCCTAACCTGTTTTGGCCCCCTTGTGATTTATATCTCCTAGTAGTGTTCGCAGTGGAAGGAGCTTTGACTGTCCCTGTGTTTGGGCGTAGCCTGTCTGAGATAGAAAATGTTTAGTAGCAGCTGCATGAAGTGTTGCCCCTGTTGATATCAATGACACAAGAATGGACCTTTAAGAACACAGGAATGGCGAGCGCTGCACAACCTCTTCTGTGTGAGATTTTGATGTGAGAGCTACGTCGTTCTTCCACCAGAATATAGTTGAATATAGGTGTAAATAAACTATTGTTTATCTTGTTTCCTTATAATTAGTAATGGATTTATATCTCGTGAGCCTTGTGCTTCCTGAAATACAACTAATACCTTTGTCTGCTAGTATATATAGAAACTCCAATTTTTTCTGTTATCACAAACTGGCGGAAAATACAATTCGAACAACAGATCCTTAGATGACTTAGTGACTGTGCCAAACATTCGAGATTTTCAGTCGGATTTTCAATAAAAATTTCACTGGCCTTACACGTACCACAAAGGAAAAACTTTCAACAATCAATGTCGCCTTCAGTTCATCTTTGAAGCCTGTTACTGCAAGATAAACTAAATCAACAGAGACTTACCGCATAACACAATAAGATTTACTAACACCGCATACTGAAAGAGGCAGACTGAGGACATAATAAAAATGAAGTCAAGTTGGTCGACTATTTCGTGTGTCAATCTTCAGTGAACAACGAAACCGTCAAGGGTAATGATATGCAAAAAATATAATTTATTGATTAGCTTTCTTTTTTCTCAATGAAAGTTCTCGCGGTGAGATGTAAGCATAACTGAAACGTTCTATGTTAACAACTATTACCCACAATTCGGAGCAACATTGCCTGTGAAATCCATTTAAAACGAAAGCTAAACCACCATCTAATTTGAAATACAATGACATTTCGCGACAGAAGCCTTGACAAGTTACCTGAGAACAGCGGGTACAGTAACTAATACACCAGTTCCATAATTACTCGCTAATAATTAGATCCAGGATTTAACCTCCTACAAACAACAAGAAAATTCTGTCCAATCGAGCCCTTCCCCAGTACCCTCACCTTTCCCGAACCCAGTGAGAGTTTTCGACCAACAGAGATTAGGCTCTATTTTGTTTTGTTTTGTTGTTTACGAACTTCATATGTTTTCATATGTAACAATCTTCATTGTTTATGAACTTCACATATTTCATTGTATCTGATTTGTTGTTTACATTGGATCGGTTGTCTCAGTGTAATAAGAGGTTATGCTGAGGCTCTTAATGATCCGAGTTTTTTTAAGGAAATTAAAGCACATGCAAGAAAAGCGCACGCATGGCAATTTGTATTACTGAATATTTTTTACTTCTTGGCTGCCTTTCCTTTGGCTTAGAGCTTACTTCCACTCTGGTAACAGCAACCTTACCCGTTACATACAGTACGACTGAATAATCTGTATAATATGTATAATCTGCACGCGCAAAGCTCGGTTTCAACTGGAGCCATTGTAAGCTCGGGTGGTGAGTGGTATCGCTCGTCAGTTTAATACCTCAACTAAACTTGAGATTGATACCCGGATTAAAATTGAATCCTGGGTTAGCGCTTATCGGCCTTCGAACAACTGGACCCTGTTTACTACTTCGCTCCGTTTTACTGACTAAACGTTTGGAATAGGCTAGCGAGTATCTGAGTGAAGACCAAGTTTTCATGAGTATTATTTTTAGGTTCCTTATTGCTGCTGTTATTGTTATCGTTGTTTTAGCCAAATAATAAACTGAACAACGCGACAGTGCATTTTGGAAACTTTTGTTGTGTGATTACACAATGATTTGACTTGGTATTTCCAAGTGATGTCTCGGTAACTATTGTGAGCCCGGCCTGTTTCACTGAAGTTCATCCAACAACTGTGTGGAACATTCTGTCATACAGCTGATGAAATTGGAGAATCGAACAAACGGACAAGAGTGCCACGATTATCATGTCAATGAAAGCAAATCAGTGCCCGTTACCAGGGGAGTTAATAGGGAGCTTAAGATACAGACGTTTTCGGGGCGACGGCGATGTGGAGACCGATTAAGATTGGGGCGAGATTGACTGCGCATGCGGCCCCGCCGTCGACCTCAGGTCGGCGACGTGAATCAGTGAGTTTGCCGTCGTGGTGATGACGTGAGTTGATCTTGTTTGTTTTTTTTTTAATATACTGCCAATTTTGGCACTTGTATTAAAGTGATTGCATTATCACATTTCGCACAAATCATCACACGATGTCTCGGCCAACTCAAGAGACTTTTTGTTTTCTCTTTTGGTTGAAATGACCGAAGCAACAGTGAAGTCCAAATCGTCGAGGTAAGTTTAGGGCACGTACGCGTACAGTACTTGAATTCTTAACATAACAGGGAATTTTTGCTTACTGCCATTCCCTTTATCAATTCGTATATGCACCTCGAAAACGTTCACCTCAGATCTATGGACATTTTCGTATGGAAAATTGGGGTTTTTAGACGGAAACATTTCATACAAAAAGATTAGCGTCGTAGTAAAGGACGAGGAGATGGCGGAATTCTTCAAACGTAGCCATGCTATGACAAAAAAGCCTTAATTTATAAAGCGCAACAATTGATTAAACTCAACGAAGTCACGGCAGAAGTCGCAAAGGCCAGCCGTCATCAGAATCTTAACAACTTAAATTATGGCACGAAAACAGCAACCTCTGGCCCAGTCTACCTGGGTTGTCACGTCGCCGCCGCCCCGAAAAGGTCTGTATCTTAAGCTCCCTAAGCTCCCTATTATGCATAATGACGTTAACTTACAAACAGCCGGATCCCCCTCTCTCCCCTCCCTTGTAAAGACAGAGAAACGGCAAGAAGCTCACGAAATGTGGAGCTCTGCGAACTCTCGAAATCTGACCAATTTTGGTGGAAAATTTTGTCTTCGAACTCAATATAACTTCCACAGGCTGAATCAGACGCATCTGAATATACGATTTTCGTTGGTTTGCGCTTCGCAGGCCACAAAGGCACGCCGTTGATGGTAGGAAGATTGTCTTTCCAAAAGTTTAATTCATTTTTGCATTCAGGCGTTAGAGAGACAAGAGAATTCCAATTTGCGACAGAGTTAACAACAGCAAAAGTATTTCGGGACATGAGCCTAGTTACGTTCCCGACACAGTTCCCGAGCGAAATAATTTTACCGCACACACTGGCGAGCTTCCAAACCTGATAAAGGGAGTCCTTGGACCCCAAAAGAAACAATAAATCCTCTTTTGATAAGTAGTTTTTTAGAAAAGCTTTTCAAGATAAAAATTAGTGATAATAATTTTGAACGACGTTTCGACCTCGCTGAGGTCATCTTCAAGCTGATGAAAAGGAAAATTTTTACATATATGTACTAAATTCAAGACGTGGGAATGATAAAGGCAATAAGATATGGAAATATGTAAACGCTAGGCGTAAAATAGAAGTGATAAAATTGCAAAGGAGACAATACGAATATTTTAATATGAGAGTTGACGAAAGTAAAACTATAAATTATACGAAAATAAAGTAAGTTATTCTAAAAATAGCTTTGCGCGGATTGAGTCTGACTGTTTGTTCAAGCTTGGCTTAATTTCTTTTATAAAAAGCATCTCGTAAATTAGGCAGTCCAGTTTACTTTTGCATTCTTCAGGATTTTGAAACTGTGATGCAAGTCACTTGGGGTATGCCCATGCCGCTCTTTAATGTGTTTCTCGATTGAAGACGCTTTGTGTTCTTCAGCACGTTGCTAGAGGTGCCGGCAGAGTAGCCGACATAGTCTGCATCGCACAGACCACACTTAAAATAATACACAACGCGCTGCTGATTGATGATGTTGGGCTTCTTTTCCGTTGGTTTTAACTCATATCCGATCTTTCTGTTAGTGTACACAGGAGAAATATTAATGTCAGTTCCAATTTTTCGGCTTAGGTCGCCAAGGTGCCTTCGTACGGAATTTGCTGATGTTTGGTCCTCAAAAGGAAGTATAAATCGCACGGGTGTTTTTTTTCTCGTTAGACGTTTGATTGATCCCTGGATCCCCAGACACTTTTTTCGTGAAGAAATCATTAATGGTCGAATGCAGTAGTTGAGTTGGGTATCAACTCAACTACTGCAAATCCTCTATCAGAGTTTGAATTCTGTTATCCGTCGCGGATATGAGGCATTCTGAGGTGTTAATAACAGTTCCGAGTCAGATGATATTTTGGGCTGGATCCCAAATGGATTTTTCTCCATTAGGAAGAAAACCGGACTTCAAGAAATCAGCGTGAACCGCCAAACTGGTAATTTTAGCTTCGACGTAATTGGCAGCAGAACCAAAGCCATCGTCGAGACAAACGACTATGGACTTGCCCTCCGTTCTCCATTTCTTAACTAAAGGCTTAAGAAGCTTAGTAAATAAATATGGCGCGGAGCTAAGTCCGAAAGGCAAGACTTCAAATTGAAAATAGCTAGTGAATCCGGATGGAAATGTCCAAGAAAACGAAAGATACTGCCTGGGATCTGGAAAAACCTCAACATGGTGGTAGCCGGATTTTAAATTAAAGGAAAACATAAAATCGTCAGGGTTCAATACCTCCCTTGCAACTGAAACATCTTCGCACCTAAACTTATATTTAAAGAGGTACTGATTGACGTGACGGAGATCCAAAATCAAACGTTTTTTGCCCGATTTCTGAATGGAAACGGATGATGGGTTTATCACTTTTGGAGGCACGTGTACTTCTGAAATGCATTCCAGACTTAGAAGTTCGTTAATGGCACTCTCGACAAAAGCAGATTCTTGAATTGCTGACTTATTGTTCTTCGCAACAAAAGGTGAAGGAATTTTAAGCAGTGGTAACTTGTAGCCGAACTCAACGGTGTCAAGAATGAAACGAGGTGCGTCAAGATCTATTCAAAACTGGAGCGATTTTCGCAATCTACCTCTAACCGAAATAGGAACATTGCTCGATTTGAACTCATAAGTCAGCGTGGAATCCTCTGAAAAGGATATCTCAGAGTGCAACGGTGGCAAAGCTTCCAATTCTATGTCTTGGTCTTGGGCATCAGTCCATGCTAGTCACCTTGGCTGTTGATTTGGGAAATTGTTTGCAAATTATTGGGACAGGCGGCTCTCCAGTGGCCCGGTTTGCCGCAAGAAAACAGACGCCAGGAGATTTATTCGCTGAAAGCTGTGGGTTAAGTTGATTGAATGTATTCAGACACTGACCGACTGCAAGCTGCGAATTCCGAGCAATCGGGAGTACTGATGTGCGACGCTGTTGGCCAAAACTACGCGTAACGAAACGCTTCGAAGCCCTGGCCGCCCGAGCTTCTGCTCTGGAGATCTTTTTCTCGTCTTCTTCATCGTCTGCCAGGTCTTGATGCTTATACTCAAGGACGGTTTTCCACCCAAACGGTGACTTATCTGCTAAAAGGATCATTTTCTGCCTTTCTTTAACCAAAGACATACCTCTGTTAAGTGCTTCCTTGACCTTGGCCAAATCTTTTTGTTCTACCGTAGCTGAGGCATCTTCAACAGCTTCTAGTGCAGCTTTGTTTGCTTTATACTGATATTCTTTACTTTTCTTTTAAAAAGACGGCGGTGCTTCACGCTTAAGTTTAAGTTTAAGTTTAAGTTTAATTTATTCACCACAGGAATGGCAGGAGAAAGGAACAGAACTTTCGTTCCAATTGACACTAACCCCTTTTTTACCCACCCATCCCACCCCGGGGAGGACATCCATCACACAGTAATCTCGCGTGTGGGAAATTAACGTCTCCTACCCCAACCCTGCAGGAGACGGGACCTCCATTTATCGTCCCTATCCGAGAAGACTAGAAAGTCTAACCATTTGCAGATATTATTACAAAGGCAGCACTTTCTTCTCAGTTAATTAAAGACCCTGAGTGTTGGTCCGGCCGGATTTGAACTCACGACCTCCCGCACAACAGTCCGGCGCTCTACCAATTGAACTAACCGGGAGGCTTCAATCTATTAATCTCAGACAACTGCTGGGCAGCGTTAGAATCGCTTGATCTTTTTAAATCAGAGACAGACGTTGAGACTAGATCCTTGATTTGGGAGAGGAGTTGAGCGTTGTTCTCAGCAACGATCTCCATGACTTTACGGTCGTCCATTGTGAAGTGTCGTATCCCTTGCTAAACGAAAACGAAAAGCTACACACGGTGAAGGCTGACCGTTGAATGCATTGCCCTACTAACGACCTCTACTTACAAACCACGATTCTGCGCACCTCGCAGCCGTGCCCAGTCCTCCGATACGTGTCGGAAATTTATTAATTTATGCTCATTTGGATTACCACAAATTACATATTCAGAAGTCAATTCAAGTCGCGACTCTCGCACGCCAAACAATTAATTCATTTCGTTTCACACGTCACGTATGAATGTTTTGCGAAATAATGCTTACATAAATACCCAATGCTAACCTCTGGTCTAGAATTCTTAATCATATATAAATTGATGACCCTTTTTACTTGTGTGCAAGTTAGGATGACTTCTTAATTAATACGGCGACGATTTCTAGTTTTATCTGTAAGATTACAGGACAAAAAGTACCTCAACCAAGGCCGCAAGCAAATGAGTTCCTCTTCTTTAATGTTTTCCGAAATTCAGTTGATAGCAGCGAGCTGGTTCAATTTACTTCTCAGTACATTTCCGACTTGCACGCTGGGCATTTCGCGCAATGACAAACAGTTCTCTATCATCAATATTCCCTTCACGTTCTTTGTAAACAAGCCCACTCTGATAGGACACTTTTCAGTCGAAAAGTTTTCCCAGTTAATTTCATGTTAATTTAAAGTTTCTTCGCAGTTTACAAAGGCTTCGCTTGGGAATCAGCAACTGCGTGGACGCAACTGAGTCAACATTCGAGGTAGATTAATTATTTGTATGTATGGGTTAGAGAACCATTTGAAAAAAAAAATAATAAGCTACGTCAATCAAACAAAAGATCAAAGGAAATTTTCACCGTTAATTGTCAAAAAAAAAATCGCTCAAGTACTTAATTTATTTCTGACCCCGATCTAATAAGAAGGATTCTCTCCAATAAAGTCGACCTGTTTATCTTCTTTTCTCCGTCAAGCACTGAAATAATAATTTCTGGATTCTAAATAAGGATTCAAGTGTTTATTCCCATAGAAGACAAACTATAAAGCGCTAATTTTACTATAATTTTAATAGGTTATTGTTATGCCTACAACTATAAAAAATCAAGGCTTAATGTTAAACTAAACAAATTGGTATAAATTTGTTTAAAGCTTTGATTTTCCACTACGAACGGTTTCCAGTTATGCACTGAACGTAGATTTTATTTATATGGGAAATTAGAGTTTTTTTAATTCTCAAAGCTATCGAATTCCAAATAGCCAAACTTGAGTTGGAAAGTATAGACAAAAAAGCCTTTGTGAAATTCGGCGTTTTTTTGTCTTTTACCCGACGTTTTAGCTCGATAAAGAACTTTCAGACTTCCGGATCACTGATACGCTCAAATGATAAACACATTGAAACGTACCATTATAATCTTGCTAAAAAAATTTGTTCAGATTCACAGGAAGTAATTTAGCCAGAGAATGAACTGGATTATTCTAATCACGCTGAAGCAATTGAACATTATTTGAACTGTTTTTCCGCTCTTTACTAAATTGGTCACACCATGTCGAGTTTGAAACGAGAATAAATAAATATAATGAATAAATTTAATGCTCTATTAAACAGCCAGGATATTCAAAGTTGTAATGATTTCGGTGCTGCTTACACGTAAGACAAACGTTTGTTGAGAACGAAACTGTTTTTAAATGGCGGCATTTTTCTATGGTCTCATTTAGTGAATTTCCTGACATCGTTTCTAACAAACTCTCTGATAAAGGTAAGTAAGGACTATTATTTGTAGAAGAGCCAGATCAAGGTACAAATGAACGATCAATTGTGGGTGAGATTGCCGAGTTCCGACAGAAAGCTCAGAATCGCTATTGTTATTGTCTAGTACCGAGTATCAAGTCTCCTCGACTCAGCTGTCTTCGGAACACTCTACTTCTTTTTTTATTTTTCTTTCGAATAATTTCGTTTCATAATCGAAATTAAGTTTGTAACTTAAATGTTTCCTTCAATTTTGATATGCGAATATCATGAATTCCCGCAACATGCAACTGAAGCTCGAGTGCCGATTAAAGCAGATGTAGCCAAGAATACTTTCAGCATTCATAATCTTGAAATTGGGGTGCATCAAAAACCTTTCGTTTATCTAAACCAATAAGTTTTCCCTTTCAACGTTTTTCGAGCTTGAAATCAGTTTTGTATCGCTCACAGCCATTAAAGACGAAGTATTACAGCTGGAATTTAACTAAATACATTAAAAAATAACAAGAAAAGATACCAGTTATAATTGAGTTAAAGGTATAGTCAATTTTAAAGTGTACACGGCCGTTCCTCTAATGAATTGATGTTGTCTCAGAAGTTGAAGGAATATTCACAACTTCGCTTTTAATCTAAATTTTCCTCAGTGAGAAGTTAATTAACAAAGTCAGCCATGCGAGTGTTAAAGAGCAACAACCCGGCGATTCTTTCATAGGTAAACGATTTATGATAAAGGAAGTAAATTCCATGATGTTGAAAGTTTGTCTAGAAGCCAGATTTTGTAATTTTGTAATTTTCAGTTGCAAAAATATTAACGAAAACCTGACTAAAACTGTTTCCAGCTGTTATAAGTTCAGCTTTGACCGAGCTTTTATCACAGTACACCTAGTGTTGAAATATTGTTTATTTGATGCTTAATGAGTTTGCCTCTATGTATGCATAAAAGAAAGTATTGACAAATTGAATTATGTGGAAAGGTGAAAATGAACCACAACAAGAATCAAGATTTCGCTTAGCACGAAGGGCTAACGCTCGAAACGTCAGCTTTTGTAATCATTACGGTGGCCAATTTACCATTTCAACTTTGTTGATATATCCAAATTATTTCGTTACTCCCACCGACGCAGCCCCAAACAGTTTCTTTCGAAACTATCAGCCTTTATTCCTTTCTATTCATGCATCGTTTCGAGACAGGGGATTCCGGATAATCTTTTTATTTCCTTTCTAATCAGAAACAGTTTTTCGTGCGGGAGCGAAGGGCAACGAAAAACGTAACAGTGGTGTAAAAATGGTTGATGACTCAGTTATCTGGGTTAAAAAAGGCTCTAAATCTGCAATTTTTTTTTTTTTTTTAAGAAAATAACTCATCAGTGATCATATGCCCTCCACGAACAGAGTCGTACCAACGGAAACGGAAAGGGCGTAAAAAATATGTCACCAACGCTGAAAACTCCGTTCTTATGAGCTAAGATCCAATAAGATTTATTTATGTCATATTTGTCATTTGGCGCTAGTAGCACCAAAATAAGCAGAGAAACAAGTTTTAGCATTTCGCACAAAAATACAATGAAGTCCGAAAATTCTTAAACAGAGCACGCTATGAGGAGCAAATATTTGCTTGTCGTGCCAATTTGAAACCACAATAATATTGGTATTTCGGTTCAATACCGACTACGTCACTTCGTAATTAGACAACGACTCGGCTGGTAGTCTTTAGACATGACTTTCATTTTCTCCCATTAAAAAGTCGACACGAAAGCATACGATGAGTCAGATGTCGTGATTTTGAAATATTACTTTAATGATAAGAACGTCAAAATGGAAAAATTTAAACCAAAAGTAACAAGTAAAAATTAAGAAAAAAAACAACCTTGAAAAGTGTGCGCTGAGGTTTTTGAGCAAATATACAGTAAACTCGTCTGAAGATCGTTACATTAAACTGGATAAATCAAAATCAAATAGCCAACACCTATTCTGTAATGTAATATTCTGTGCCTTGAATCCATAATTATATGTCGGTTTCTATACAAGAGACACTGAAGCGCTCGCTGAATACTTCCAACTTGGTCAGACTAAACCGCAGAACAACGGCGCTGTCAAAATCCATAAAACCTTCAATTATTCATTTTTAAGACAGAAAAATATAGAAAGGAGCAATATTGAGTTCGACATGCAGATACAAGTTTAGAAGGTAAAGGGACGAAAAAATATGTAAATCACTATTCAGTGTGTGAACGCGAGGGTGATGAGTACAAAAATTACAAAAAAAGAGGTTGTGACGTCAATAGCTTAGTTTCATTCTGTTTAGTTGTAAACCAATATCAGATCAAGACCGTGACATCTCGCCCATTAGCTGGGACCGTAACCCGGCAGCTTTGGACTCAGAGTTCACTGATCATTTTTAAGTTTTAAGACTAACACGTAAAGGAGTAATTGTAAGCACCAAGTTTTGAGAAAAGCTGCGACGGTCTGTGGAAAAATTACTATGTTTCTCTAGATCGTTGTTGAGTTAAAAATCGTTGATTGTATTACTTTCCAAAATGTCTTTTTGACGAGAAATAAGAAAGTACCGCAGCCCCAGCACGCTCTCAGTTGTCACCCGGCTGTGTGAACCTGCTTTTCGAAAAGTGAGTTCTGACGGAATTAAGAAAGAAGTTATTTCTTCCATATACTCTCCTTTCGTCTTTTCTTTTCAGTTTCTTAGGCTCGTGGTTTATTTGCTTTTGTTTTCATCAGAATGCTTTCATTTTAAAATCACTGAAGTTTCATGGGATGTTTACCTCGGGACACGTGCGTGGGATATAATCCGCGTTCAGTAGCGAAATCCAACCAAACTCGTCTTACCTCAGTCTACATTGTTGTCATCTCTTACATCACCTGAAAAATACCAAGCGTAACACGACGTTTAGTTGCAATATCTGGAGACCTCTTATGAAAGTAATTTCGTAGCTATGAAGTGAGGATATAGTCTATGGCGACTAAAGTTTGGGTAGATAATTGAAGAAACACTTTGCAAAATATAGGAAACACAATATAGAGGGGCTTGGTGAGCTGATGGCTCTTACGGCTTATTATTTAAATTTTGGCCATTTTACGGCTAATACTTTTACGATTAACCTCCTTTACCGATTGTCGGTTAAAATTTGTTCATTATTACGCTGAACGGCTAAACTTTTTCGCCGTTTTACGGCTAATGGTTAACCACATTGTGACTCTAAATACAATGAGTGCAACTTAATTAATATACAGTTTGCCCATCTTTTGATTCACAAGATCAATATATAATTCTCAACATTGTCTACCATGCATGCCTTAAACCTATCATCTCTAAGAACCTGGTGCTAAATTAAAACGTTTTCCCCCATTTGATATTCTTCTTCTTCACATCACCTATCTTTCTTAAAACGTGTTGATAGTGCTAGAGGACAAACTGCTTTTTTTTGTTATTTTTGGAGACGAAAGGATATATAAAAAACTTTATTTAAGGAGAATGCTTTCTTAAGAGGCTCCCTTTATTAAGAGAGTGGGTGCTTTACAAGAAGAGCTCTGGAAATTTTTTACGAGACCGTGCCGGGATGGCACGTTAGAATTTTGTTTTCAACCAGTACATTTGCAAACGAATGAAATCTTTCCCCATGTGCTGTTTTGAAGAATCGAAATATTATCTACCGAGACTCTGAAGAGGTCTCATTCACTTTTCATTTTGACGAGTCAAACTTTTACTTGATAAAAACCTGGAGTCGCCGGAAAAATTGACTCAGAAATTTGTAAACGTTTTTATCTCTGAGAAGCAGAGAGACGGCTGTGGTTTTGCGGCGTTCTGTCTTCTTTTTCAGGGGCAATATATGAGGAGCTTGAAACGGCGTTTATCGTTCCCGGTCAATTTCTGTTGCGACCAGCTGAAAGTCTTTTGTTTTCAGCGACTCCATTTGTAGCTTTAAGTGATTAAAAACTCGGTGTTACACGTTAGAAAAATGTTCATTGTTTATCTATGAAAGCCTACTAGCGTTTAGTACATATAGAAATCAAAACTTTAGCGTTAGTGCAATATCGGGTCAAGTTATGTTTTATTACTGTGACTTGTGCCTCTTCAAGCCAGTTTTGGATTAAATTCATGGATAATAGCAAAAGAAAGTCGCCCAGATACAGGAGTCCTGGCTCCTGATACTGAAGTGTAAGAAACGCATGTACGAATATTCTTGGTTCAAGTCAAAGGTTACACGTATCCACTTTAGTTTCATTTTAATTTGGCCTCGGCTAAGAGATAACAGGTTTTCTGACTGGATCCTTAACCGTCACTTCAAAAGTTAAATAAACTTTGCATCTGCTCGCTGATATGTGATGGAGTGTTCTGGACAGACACTTAGCTTTTCCATCGACTAAAGTAGGCCTTGTATTCCATACTGAGTCAACCTTGACGCATACGACCCACGGTCCTATATCAGGTTGTTGTCAGGATCTCGAGGCTACGGTTTCTAAAGAAACCATTCATGCAGGCAGGCATATTTCATCCTTTTTAACGCGGTTATAAAAAGTTACTAGGTCTCTCTGTGCTAATAAGGGCTGCATTAAAAACAGAACTACAAAAACACATCAAATAAAAGACTGGAAAGAACGAAAATGACCTCCTTTTCATTTCCATGAATTTGATACAGATTATATAACACTACAAAGAAGGGTATAGAATATGTGTTTGAATTAATTTAATTTTTTTTTATTACAGTTTCTCCAGATCTAAATTTCTAAATAAATAAATAATAAATAGATAAATAAGAGGCAGCATCCAAAAGCGTCCTAGACACCATACGAGGGATGCTCTCCAGTAAGCTAACAAAATATATCTATAATATTAAGAAACAAACAATTATCAGAGTATAAAATTTGATATAAAAATATTAGATTGAATTAAATCTGATATTCTAAGTATTACCAAAAAATTAAGTAACTTTATGTTTAAGGCTAGAAATACTGACAGAATCCTTTATATTATTAGGAAGACTATTCCATTCATTAACAATACGGATAAAAAAGCTATATTTAAAAATATTTGTTCTACTATGCATGCTGACCAGGTCGAGAGAATCATTCTTCCTTAAATTATAATCCACACTACTATTGACGAAGATCGATGCCACTGACTGATACGACTTAAGTTTGGTTTTCCCCTAAACGTATTGCTTCCAGATCCTAAATCCTTTATGAAGTTGACAAAGTTTACAACCAAATTTACGCTCGGACGAAGGTCTAACGCTCGAAACGTCAGCTTTTGTAATCGTTACGGTGGCCAATTTACCATTTCAACTTTATTGATCATGATCCAAATTATTTCGTTACCCCCATCGACGCAGCCCCAAACAGTTTCTTTAGAAACTATCAGCCTTTACAACCAAATGTCTGGAATTAAGATTTCATTAGCCTTTTTGCATTTTGATATGATTTGAGATATTCTAGCGATAGGCACGGTTGTAATTATTGGAACCAGTTACCATCTGCTGTAAAAAATGCATCTAATGCATCATCCATCATCCTTCTGGAGACTTTTAACTAAGTTAAAATTTATCGGCTGTCAATACAGTGGTTGCCTTTGATTGTTTTTTTTCTTTTTAGATATACATTATTTCTAATTTAGTCGGTGCTATTACAATTCTAGCTTTCTTTTATATTGTCAGACACAATTATCATGAGCCTCTGGCTCGGGGTATTGGGAGACCACCCTCTTTGTATTTTTTGACATTAAATAAATTATCCTATCCTATCCTAAGATACTTTCAGTTAAGAAAGCCTTAATAAAGAGACACTTATATTTCTGATCATTACTGATATTCTTCTTTGGATAATATTTATTTGATTGTTCAAATTTGAATTGTATTAAATACTTCCAGAGATCGTCACGGTAGAATGATATGATGTCTCCAAGTCCACGACCTCGTTGGTCTTCAGTTGATTATAGGCAGGAGCAGACAGTTTTTTTTTTCAACCTTAAATTGAGACTTCTTCATCAATGGTTCATTAATATTTGCTTTGGTAATATTTCAAAGAACTGGTGCCTTACAAAGCTCGTTTATTATATTAATGTTTGAAAAAAGTATTGCTTTTTCAAACGTCTCACTTCTTAGAATGCTAAAACTTTGCCCTTTATAACAGTAAAGTTCAAGCATCTTTAATCAATAAAGAGATTTTAATAGCTGCTCAAATGTTGTGATCGAAGGAAAAGATATAGTAATTATTTGACGGATTACGTATAAACGTGTTCTCGAGAAAAAGGCGGTTTAATTTTTGTGTAAAACATCAATTGATCATTATTTGTATTACCGACTTTGGGAAAAGATACTAGCTCATGAGTTGACATTTTATTCTAAACGCAGACGGCAGATGGCGCACAACCTTATTTTAAGCGTAAGTTTCCTTATCCTGACTTTTTCTAGAGTATCTTAGGGAGATCATCTCTTATAAGCCCAATGTGATGCCTTTCACGACTCGTTACAGCAGAATAGCGTTTGCTAACAACAGAGGATTAACCTCTCTTGATGTTAATTACTCCAAGAATCGACAAGCCTGCGCAGGCCTAACAAAACAGAACTCACTAAAACCTATGATTTACTTAACCTTGAATAATCTTCACACTCAGGCAAAACATTATTAACCATTTCTTTCCTTGTGATTTTCAGACCTGATTTGCTCTCCTTCAGCATAGAATTGGTTCCAGAGACACCATGTCACTGTTCACTTACACAGAAGCAGCAGAAATCAGCCTTCGTGTGGCCTTCTCGTTTCTTGTGTTCATCACTCTAGTTGGTAACTTGCTGGTCTGTCTTGTTGTTCTGCGAAACCGTTTAATGAGAAGCGCCATGAACTATTTGCTGGTGAATCTCGCCTGCGCCGATATGGTGGTAGCTATTTTTGTGATCCCCCGGTATATCCTAATTCACACGTACCAACACCCCACGGGGCACACCGGGGACTACCTCTGCAAGTTCGTAACTGGAGGGAACCTGTTATGGACAGGGGGCGTGGTCTCAGTGGTATCACTGATTGCTGTTGCAGTTGAAAGATACTTTGCGGTGTTGTACCCGCACGATGAGAAAAGACGCATTACAAAGGCCAAACTTAAATTCATCATACCTGCCTGTTGGCTGTCTTCAATCCTCTGGAATCTTCCTGTATTTGTGTTGGTGAAATATGACGAGGAATTAGATTTTTGCCTGGAGAACTGGCCTTTTGGCTGGTATTTAAATGCTTACAGCCTTGGATGGCTCATTGTTGTTGGCATTTTACCGCTGACTATTATGACGCTTCTTTACAGCCGAGTGGTTTTTAAACTCTGGGTCACAACTTCGCAACCGGTAGAACAGTCACAGCGCGCCGTCATCAAGTCACGCAAACGTGTCACGAAAATGGTCCTGACCGTGACAGTTGTTTGCGCAGTATGTTGGCTTCCCAATCTCATTGCCTACGTCCTTGATTTCTATGGGTTGAACTCTCAAGGTGACATAGTTCACACGACAACCGTTGTCCTAGTAACTTTAAACTCTGCTGTTAATCCAATAATCTACTGTTTTCAGAGCAGACAGTTTAGGAGATGTGTCAAGTTACTTTTGCTTTCTCCATGTTCGATGCGGCGCACTGCAACTGTAGGACCCGCCTAGGATTTCGAGCACACTGAAAGGAACCATGAGGCTCCCGGAAACAGAAAAATTCTCACACAGAACTGAAGATAGGTTTCTCACCTGCAAAATCTCAAAGGAAAAATGAAAACTTACATTATCCATGAGGTCATGAACTAAGAGAAGTCGTCCCTAAATGTCTTTCCAAGGACATTGTTTTAGATTCGAAATTTAGCATGTAGTCATACTGTACAGCTATTATAAGAATTTTATCTCATTGATCATGAATGATAAGTTGTAATGTGAAATCTGATTGTGTGCTAAAACAAGTCCATAGACCGTAATTTACCGACTTGATCTCGACTTAACGGTGTTGAGCCAGGAGAAAAGATTGGAATCAATTTAAAAAATGATTTGAGTTCCACTAAGCTCAGCAAGATGTTAAAAGGTAGAACTGTCGGAAAAGTTATCTTTTGCATTTATTCAAATCTCTCGTTTCAAACTGGTTTAAGAAAAATGTCAACCAAGAAAATTGGCAGCCCGTCAGCGTAGGGACTGAGGCGAGAGGTTATAGTATTCAGCGACGAAGTAATATATTTTAAATACCAAGTTCATGAAAAGATATCAAGTATTAAATATTTATCAATCTATTTGTAAGGGAACTCCTTGCTATGCATTCCTAAGCTCCTTTGTATTTCATTAAATCGAAACGCTTATCCATTTCAGAGAATCAATCCACATCCGGGGTTTAAAACAATTTATTTGTAATGAATGCCATGCCCTTCCTCCAATAAAGTGAAAGGGAAGAAGAATCTCATGAAAATGTTCAGTTATCTTACATTCTTCTTCATTCAGCATAATATATTCGGCACGATTTCTTCAGTACGATTAGTGAAAGGAGCGCCATATTCCTTATGAAACAAGAAAACCAAAACTTAAACATTGAGATATGACTAGGGACTCCTTAGAGCTCAATGCAACTTTCATAGAAATGATTTCATGAAAGTTGCTGAAATATGGTTACAACTTGCGTATTCAGGCTTTTGTTAATACTTAATGTTAACATTTTCAAAATTAGCCCTTCAACAGATGTAACAGAAATGAATAAAAATCGATAAATAAATTTGATTCGAAAAGTTAAAGAAATAACAGATATTAATATCGGATTTAACTAAACAAACATTATGTACGTGTTGGAAATCATACCAAATTTGACGACAAAGTTTTTATTTATACGCTCGGCTAAATTTGTGGCGCCTGCCGAGCGCAAATGAATGACTATATTGAACAAGCGGACAATTCAATGGAGTTTGTTCTTATGGAAAGCAATGTTTTAATTATCACTAAAGCGATCACAGTCACTTAGAACTTCCTAACCATGTTAAAGATGGTCTTCTTCAGTCTCTAAATTAGCACCTGTCATTTATTTATTTATTTATTTATTTATTTTTTTCAGTGAGATATGTCACGGAAGAGGCTCCACAGAAACTTTTCTGAAAACAGCAACCCTATGTGTTTTCGTTTGAGCTTATCCTTCCAAAATGAAAGCAAAAAATAGGAATTTTAAAAATGCTGCCATTATGTTATTTCTCCTTCACGCGTAAAAATTTAAGCGCGTTTCAAGCATGCACACTCATTTGGCCTGCGTGTCTAGCATTTAAGTTGGGGTCTGCGCGATACGTGGCACGCGACTACAGCAGAAGATGCGCGATAAAAACGTGACATAACTACGACGGTACTGTTTGTTCATGACTCCATACACAATTGGGTTTAAACAGCTATGCGCCCTTGTTAGTATATCTGCAACAAACCAGAGCTCTTCATAGGAGACATTTCTGAAATCCAACAGCATCCAAGCTACTTGATTTGGTAATAAAAATACCGAGAACAAGAAAACAATTATTGCTACGGTTTTCAGAATTATCATACTCTCTCTTGTATTTTCTTCTCCTGACATTTGTCTGTCCGTCAATAAATTGCTGTTTCTGGGCAACACCGGACGATTTCTCATAAAAAGCCATATTCGTATGTAGCAAATGGCTGTCATCAGCAGCGGTAAAATATACTGTGCTGTGAGGAGGGAGGCAGTGTATGCCTTGCGATGAGAAAGGGAATTCCAATCTTCTTCACACTTTCCATTGTCTGCTATTTTACTGACAGTAATAAGTGGAATAACCAAAATAAAAGCAGCCAGCCACACGAATGACACCCATATTAATGCACCTCTTTTTTTCAGCTTTGGTTTCCACGGATTTGTTACAATATGGCAACGGTAAATCGCCATGGATGTGATGGTGTAAAGCCCTGCATTGTATCCAGTTGTAACAACAGTCAGATGTACTCTGCAATTATAAGTTTCAGACATAAGGACGCCTAAGTGTTGTAAAATGGAAACAGGCGTGTCAAAACACAGCAAAACCAGATCTGCAATGGCCAGACTCGTCACAAACATTCCATGGATTGTCCTTCTCGCATTTCTCTTGTGAACTATGATAAGAACAAATACGTTTCCCACAATCCCTATTACGAATACTGTTATGATAACTGCAACCTCGGTCCACCATTTTAGGTTCTTCTCCATTGTGGGGCTTTACGAATCGTGATCAGTATTTTCGGTTTATAAATCGTTTCTGCTCGTAATAGCGTTCGCCAAGTCACGTTCTTATCGATGCTGCCGAGCTCACAAACCTACGAGTACATTATTACTGCAATGTGTTCTACGCCCACAAAATAAGTTGTGAAACAATTTAGAGATGAATTATCCGTAATGATATACAACCCGTGAATAAGGAAATGCAGATAGGATAACTATTAAATGTAGTTTACAGGACGCGAAAGCAGTTCTGTTATCTTATCTATCTATCAAGCTCGCAGACTCGTCAATATCAAACTGATCCTGAATGAGAGCTGATGTCCAATAAAAGGGTTATACGGGCTTTAACACACGCCGGATAGGTCTAAAGTTTTGTTCAGCTTTTCATTTCGTTGATAGCTTGGAAAAGATCTTCATAAGTAATCATCGGCTGCCGCGGGGAAATTGAAAAATGTCTCACGTCCTTATGATGATGTACAAGTACATTGTTTCGTCACCTTTCTAAAAAAGAAACAGCCTAAACGGATACTACCTAAATGATTTGTGAATTATGTTTACATTAAACGAGTATTTGAAGAAAAGATGTCAAATTAATTAATGGTTTCCTTATTTTGGGTAACTAAAGTCATTTATGTGGTTAAACTTGAGCATGAAAAAAAAAAAAATATGCATGTGTTGAAAACGTTGCCGTTTACAAGGCGCCTTCCAGCAAGGAGAAGATAGTTATCATAAAACCATATACAGGCTGGCCATTTCTGAAACATCCCTTATTTTGCCGATGCATATCAGTTTCGAACGTAAATGGTCATTGCGTCAGCCTGTCGCTGTCGGCTGCTAGTGTACAGACAATTGAAAGTCTTTTTAATTTGCACTGCGGAAAATGTTTATCTCGGTTGTCATTCGAATGCTTGCGTTAAATCCGCCCTTAAAACGCTTTTATCATTTGCTTTTTATTTTTTTACAAAGAAGTGACTTCTGCTTTCCCTATTCTGCCGGAGGTGTTAAATAATGTTTGCTTAATATCAATTTCATTCTAGAAAAAGAGAAAAATAGCGAGTTTATCTACGAGTTAACGTGACTGGGTTCAGTTGAATCATTATTTTCCATATGAGAAGAGCTTAAGTTTATCCTGAAAGTAATTGCAGAAACGACGGGAAGCTTTTAATGGCGCATAATAAGATTTTTCATGATAAGGTCTATTACTGACTGATGCAGTAGGAGAAAATGCTGTTATACGTGCGGTTATATCGTGATGTATCAGATTTCCTAGAATTTTCAGACACATACACTGCCTCAAATTAAACGTCATCGCGCGGCAGTGCTTAAAAGTGCAAAAAATAGGATGTGAGGGGGCATGAACGCCTTGAATTACTTCTTCACAGAAATTGCTTCCACTCTTACCTCAGACTCCTCCCACGTATCTACGTTTAGTTCACATCGTTTGACAAATACACCTTTGCACGTAGTCTTGGTTTTCAAGAGACGTCATCAACATTTCAAAAAATAACAAATTATCGAACCTTTTGAGATTTTAGTTTAGTTTGTTAAAATTGAGGTTGGCTGACGCGAAATTGACGCTGGCTGATGTGCAAAATGGCATGCGTACAAAAACGCAGTAAATTTTGTCGGCTTACCCTCGACGAAAAAAAAAAGGATGAAATGATATTTGTGGATGAAGGCTGTGATATGTTGGTCACTTGCTCTGTTAGCCTCACGTGACATATATTCTGATCGAGACTGACTACGGTGTTAAACTGAAAGGCTAACAATTTGTGGGGTTAATAGTGTTATGTAAACTTAAAAAGCAAACTAAGGATAGTGACCTTATCGTGGAAGCCATAGAGCCAGTTCAACAATTTATCGGAAATCTCTGTTACAGCGTGGCCACGAAAGGGTCGAGAAAGTTACACTAACACTAAGGAACGCGGGCGCCCAAATATTGTAAGTTAGTGTTGTGTCATGCTCTCTTACATGACGTATTGTTAATTGATGTCAAGATGGCGGACCAAGATATGTCTCCTCTACATCCTAAAAAGCCCTGCCGTGCATGTACGGATTTCAAATCATGGATGAATCAAGGGAAAAGAAACATAAGTGCTACGGTGAGTTCTTAAGGATGTTACAAAATTAAGAGAACCAGTACCACAAAATATTTGATAGAAGAACATCTTTCGACGTTAATGAGAAAATTATGTTACGCGGCCAGCAGGGTTGCATCATGGAATTGGAATTACACGCACAAATATTTTTCAATTGCCCCATATTTTATGTGGCAATGATAAGCTCTTCTAAAAAACCTCGAGTTATCGCTAAAGTTTCATTTTTAACGAAATTGTCATCAGGAGCTATTTCCATTCACCAAAAGCGTTTCTAAAGTATTATAAGAGCGTATGCATAAAGGGGGTTATTTTTTATTTTTGCGAGAAATAACGGCCTCATCTCAAATCGCCGTCGGGTACTTATTGATATTTCCAAGGATAGTGAACAGTTATTATCCAGTCAAGCATAGTCACAACCATTGGTAAGAAACTACTGTTAAGACCTGTTAAAAAGATGCCTGACAGCATTAATCAGTATGTTTTTCCCTTTTCCTGCTACATGAGGTATAAACATGTACCATACCACCTCCAACTTGTTGTTTTAAGGCTCTCATGGTCTCTGTTGTCAGAAGGTATAGTTGATCAATAACCTCTTGTTTCTCTCCCCTGACCTCCTGACATCCTTTCTGGTTTCCTTGCTCCCCATCATCCCTCTCTGACACACACTCCTGTCCCAAATTCACCCATCCCCCCACCTCTTTTTTCCTGTCACCCCTCTTCTGTCATCCCTTCCTTTAAACTTCTCTCCCGCCAGATTTCCATTTTTAACCCTATGACTGTTTTTCACTTTCCAACATTATGAAATGTCTTTTCTTGCAAGTTGCATTTTCTATTTTTTTTTCTTTTACCAGAGCAATAGCAGAAACTCTTCTCAAAGCCATGACTCAGCATCTCAGGATGAATCCAACATAGAATGTCCACTTGATAGGCAAGAACTTGGTCGATCAACATGGAATTTTCTTCACACAATGGCTGCTTATTATCCAGACAATCCTTCGCAACAACAACAAAATGACATGGCCAGTTTTGTAAAAATATTTTCCAAATTTTATCCTTGTGAAGACTGTGCTTCACATCTCAGAGAAAGGTAAATTTGATATGACACAGCCAAACAAGCTTGGATCTTTCATTTGACTAAAAATTGTGCACTGTCTATTGTGATTTTTTTTTTTTTTTGTTTAGGTTACAAACTCACCCTCCTGACACAAGTAACAGATACAATTTTTGTCAGTGGATGTGCCAAATGCACAATGAAGTCAACAGGAGGCTTGGAAAAAAAGAATTTGATTGTTCAAAGGTTGATGAGCGATGGCTTGATGGATGGAAAGATGGCTCATGTGACTGATCAACATGTGAAGTATGATAACATGATTTTTCAGTAGTGTCTAAAAACTTAAATACTGCAAAAAGATGTATATAGAAAGTGATTTATGTAACATAACCTCTGGACAGTGACCACTGTTAGGACAGGGGTGGCACTCTACCCAGATGTAAAACCAAACTAATCAAATACCAGTGATCTTAGTTAAGATGATAACACAACAACTTGTTGTTTGTTTTGCCGGTATGGTATCCAATAAGCTGTTACTAGATGTCTTTTAAATAAATAATTAAATAATTAAATAAATCATGTGTTTACTGGTTGATCCAGTAAAATTTGGGCAGAAATAATGCAGGAGAAAAAGGAACTACAATAAGAAAGATAGAGGAGAGACAATTTTTTAACCCTAGAAAATAAAATATTTAATTGGTGCCTCTGGTGTTTAAAGTCAGGGCAGGAAACTTTCTTTTCAATTCACTTGTCCCTTCGGACAAATACAGTTTGTATTTTACTTGTCCAGACCACAAAATTACTTGTCCCAAAAAATTGGCAACAGCAATTTAGGGTTTCAAAAATCCTTTTTCTATTTCAACCATGTCCCAGTTAAGTGAAAAGCTAAATAGTCAATAAAAACATTCAACACAACAAATTGCATAAAGGTATATTCTTTTGATACATCTGTCGGTGTATGTCAATGTGTTCATTCTACATCTGACTCATCTTCAGAAATTTAGGGAAGTGGTGGTAGAATTTCTTCTTCTTCTTCTTCAGGTTCTAGTCTTTTGCCACTAGCAGTAGGATTTGTTCCCTTTTATATACTTACCTTCAGTAAGAACTGAGACCTCCAAGAAAAGTTTTTATTATAATGGCTCAGTTGTGTATAATAATTATTTATTAAATAAGAATCAGTTTTAATTGTTATACTGTACTATTTTTAACTTAGTTACTTAGTTTCTTATTATTTATTTTTAGAACTTTTTGTTAGTTTTTAATTTAGGGCTCCTATTGATAACAGATATACCTTTAAGTATTCTGAAGGGATTACCCTAGTTAAATAAAGGTTTACTACTACTANAGGTCCCACCAATAACGTAGCTCCATTTTCTGCCTTTGGTACATCTGGTACATCTTTGGTACATCAACGCTCGAAACGTCAGCTTTTGTAATCGTTACGGTGGCCAATTTACCATTTCAACTTTGTTGATATATCCAAATTATTTCGTTACCCCCACCGACGCAGCCCCAAACAGTTTCTTTAGAAACTATCAGCCTTTGTTCATTTGAGTCTTAGGTACTCCCTCTGGTCCGATGTATCTCACAAAAACAGATTGTTGCTCGATGATCCCTGAATCTGTGCTCCCATCTGCCAAGACTGAAAAGAAACTTGCTTCTTGCAGCTCTTTTCTAATTATGTTCCGTTCAATATCTGCCATTGCAGAAACGAATGTTTTACAAGCTTTAGGATTTCTGTAATTAGGTCCCAAGTCAACCTGATTTTTCTCCTGAAGGTCACAAATACTGACGTATTTTGAAAGGCAAGATTTTCCTTAGCGACATAGTGGGCAGTATTGAACAGTTTTTCTAGCCTAGCTTGTGATTCCTGGCTTATTCGCGACAACATCTTTTGCAATGGGCTGTCTTCCCGTTTCTGGTCATTCAGCAGTCTCGTATGGCAAACAACATGGCGACGACTTTTTGAATGGGCAGTTAAAGTTTCTCGTCTAAATCCTTGAACTCCATCCGCCCACATCCTATATACATCGGGCTGCTTTTATCTGCTAACTCTGGAAACTTCCGACAAGTGGAGCAGTGCATTTTGTTTGTTTTTAGCTCATAACAAACCCAGTCGAATTCTGTCATCCAAGCCAACTGAAATTTTCTTACGCGCTTGGTTTCATATTTCTTTTTGTTATCTTCAATCTTTTTCCTTTTGGAAGGAACTTCCTCGTCTGTATTGACATTCTTATGTGCTTCCGGTGATCTCGGTGTGTGATGGCGGTTGGGAAAGAATGGATTCTGGCCAATATTCCCGAGAGTGTAGTCGGACGGTGAGTTTTACCTTTGAGCAATCTGGGACTCCCCTCACTTCACGGGGACTTATTATACTCGTCGCCAGGTGCCCCGAACTCAGTGCCAGTTTGAATTCGACAAGTTGGGATCCTAACGGTTTCGGGCCGCCATTCTAGTGCGTCAACGTACAAGTTTTTACGGAGCCTGTTGGCTTCGCGTTTCAAGCTGGAGCTGCTTTGGTGGATTCACGGTTTAGAGTTATTCTTGTTCCACGAGCCCGGCGTGTTTATTTGGCGACTGGATTGGATTTTCGCGAAAAAAATTTGCTGGATTGAGGGTCGATCTGTCCCCCACGCTGCCGTCAGCCTCCCACCTTGTCTCTCTACTATGAAGGGAAGGTGAAGACGAGTATTTTTCCCGAAACTTCGTGTACGTATTAACGACAACAACAAATCACCACATGGTGAGTTTCATTGATTTTTATTTCCATTTTCAAGCAAATTTCCAGACCTAAACTTCGCCCCATATGTTCTCTATATTTAACCATGTGTACGCGACACAAACAGTGAGCCTGGGTTACCTGTGGTATCCCTTAAAATGGCTCAATAAAAGGTTTTGCTTCAAGGTGTAATTTGGTGTAAGGATACTGGTATTTTTTTTTTTTTTCAAAACTAGCCATTACCCACAATTTTTTTGGTATGTTTGATGTTTTATGTTGGGCATTGATGGTTGGTTTTGTTTTGTTTTGTTTTTTTTTTTTCACTTTTTGCTTAACCCTGGATCATTAGTATTTATTACAGTAAACTGTATAAGTGATTTTAAATTTGAATTTCTTACAAAAATTGAGGGGTTGGACTGCTGCGGCTTTGTTACAGAAATTTAAATCTTTCCAGAATTTTAATAACATGAAGAAAAATTGTCTTTGTTTGATTTATTTTTCTGCTATAGAGTAATTCACACTAATTGTTATTTACCAGTTCTTAGCTACTTACCATACTCTAGCTGTAAAACAGAACAATGAGTTCACGTGAAAATGTGAAAGAAGATCTACTTGAATTTCAGCAGGTTAACGGAAGTAACGATTACCTTCTTTGAATCGCTAGCGAGCTGGATATTTATTTTTGTTGCCAAGGGGCTATTATCAATTGCAAATCACCAGGTATTACGATAAGAACCTGGTTATCAGCGGATCAATTTCTCTTTAAAGTGATTCTAGAGAGTTCATTAACTTCACGTAAATTTGATACCCCTGTTAAGAAGACATTAATGAACTTGTGCGCGTGCGACTCGCATGCGCGTGCTATGGGACTACGTAAGCTAATAATGTCGTAAGCAAATCACGCGGACCTTTTAATTTTGACGTGTGCGATTTTTTAGAGGGAGTTAAAAAGGTTTTAGTTTATCGAGTGGCAGTTTTGTTTTAATGGTCGTTGTCGTTTACCGTGAGCCTACAGTTTACCGTGTTGGAATAAAAGTGTTTGTTTGGATTTCCCGTTTCGCTTCCGAATAACCCCCTTCTGGAATTTTTAGGGTGCTAGATAAAACCTAAGGATTTTTGGCATTGTCTAAACGAAAGTATTTGGAAAAACTGGATTGAGGAATGAATAATTATTTGTGTACATTTATTAGTGATTTAGCCGAATGATAATATAATTTATCGCAAAAGCAATACAAAATTAAGCAAGCACTTAGGTTTAAATATATTGAAGCCAATATTTAATGCGTGCTGCGTTTAGAAGAAACTGTATATTCATGAACATTCACCTTTTTCTTTTTTATTTGCTTTTTTTTCGAATTCAAGTTTAGAAAAAGAGGACCACGACATTTTTTAAAACACTGATAAATGTATGGATTCAATTTATTGCAGCTTCTTTTTGTTTTCCCATTAGAATTAATAGTAACCACAAAAATTAAAAAGGAAAATTGACGGAAAAGATACTGCCCTGAGCAACAAGCCTTTCAGCATTTTTTTTTCTCATATTGGCGATATTGAATTACTATCTTGTCTTGTGTGACAAATTTAAGTGAATGTAATCTGACTGGCTGAGTTCTGCATGACATGACAGCTGTACTGTAAAATGTCAACACAGGGTATTTAAATAAGTAATATTTCGTAATTTAGATGAAACGAAGAAGGTAAAACGTTTCCTACAAACCCAATTAGGGAGCCAGAAGTTGATTTGTCTTAAATTTAAGCTTGAAAGATTCATTTAGTTGAAGTAATAGGCGTCATGATAAATTGATCTTCGAAATTGATTCCCAAATTCAAAAGGCGAATTTTTAATTTTCCTATACTGTAAACTGGACCAAGACTATTAAAGAATATTTACAATGAGTAAAATCATGATAAAAATTCCTACAGGTATAAGTTCTGAGACAACCATCTGGAAAGCTACAATTGATGGAAAATTTAGTATCTTTCAAATTTTTATCAAANTCGGCACAAAAAGAGATCAAACTTGGCTGTCACGACTTGTGACATGATCATATATGACATTGTGATATTTATTTTTCTCTCAGGCTTAGGTTCTGTGGCAAATTTGTAGACCTGAAAAGGGCCTTTGTCTGCTCTACAGAATTAAGTCAAAACGTCGTTTTAGAGCTTGGTTTTGAAAACGTGGCTCATTGCACGCACTCAAATGGTGCAAATAAATTGAACTGAAATATTTTGTACTGGAAGTGTAAAGTAATAGAAACAGCAGGAAAGAATGAAATAAAAATGACAATTTTCATGGTTAATTGGCAGCCGGAAGAAGACCAAAAAAAGAAACTGTGAAACAATTAAGGAAAATGTTAGACATATTTGCATTTAAGTGAGGATAAATGGTTCTGAAGAAAGATATGACAAATCAATAAATCAACGACTCTACCGAAAAATTGTATAGAGATATATTTTTTCACAGATGTTCGCTTCGCATTGAAGTTATCAGTGGTATCACATTTTAGAGGCTCTACTTGAAGCTTTTTTAAATTTCGAGATTATTTCATTTAAGCGATTACTTTTGCACAATCGCTTCTTTGAAGTAAGCTCTTCAAAAGTTACTATTTTTTTTTTAAGGTGGAGGCATTTGTCACAGCAGTAAAGAAGACAAGAAAAAACTCATAGATTACCAGCTCGCACAGAAATGATTCACGAAAAGGCCTCTAGCCGCTGGTGGGTCGAGCTTTTAACAGAAGTGACAATTTTCGCCATAGGGCTTGTGGGAAACATCTTTGTTCTTATCATAGTTCACAGGAGAAACGCCAGGACGACAATCCATGAAATATTTGTTACAAGTCTGGCCATTGCAGATCTGGTTTTGTTGTGTTTTGATTCGCCTGTTTCCATTTTACGCCGTTTCAGTCTCAAGTCTGAAACGTATAACTGCAGAGTACATCTGACTGTGGTTACAACAGGATACAATGCAGGGCTTTTCACCATCACGTCCATGGCGATTCATCGGTGCCATATTGTGACGAATCCGTGGAAACCGAAGCTGAAGCGAAGGGGTTCAATAATATGGGTGTCACTTGTGTGGCTAGCTGCTTTTATATTGGTTATTCCACTCATTGTTGTTAATAAAATAACAGAAAATGGCAAGTGTGAAGAGGATTGGTCATCAATCACAGTCCGTCGGGCATACACTGCTTTGCTGATGACCCTTCAGTACATTTTACCACTACTCATTACAGCAATTTGTTACTTGCGAATATTGGTATTTTTGAAAAAGCGGCCTGTGTTGCCGAGAAACAACGATCCAACCAATGATATTCAAGCTCCAAATGAAGAAAACACCAGAGAAACAACAACGATCCTGAAGACCGTAGCAGTAATTGTTTTCTTGTTTTTGGTATTATTGTTGCCAAATCAAGTCGCTTGGATGCTGTTGGATTTCAGAAATGTTTCCTATGAGGAGCTCTGGTTTGTTGCTGATATACTAACAAGGCTTCATAGCTGTTTAAACCCAGTTGTGTATGGAGTCATGAACAAACAATACCGTCGTAGTTATGCCAGCTTTGTATCGTGCATGTTCTGCTGCGGACGATCAGGGAGCCTTGATCTTGCGCCAGCTGGAAACGCCATCGGATAATCAGGCGAGCGACCAAGTAATGTGCTTGTGGTTACACGGAACAGTGTTGGAGCTAAGAAAAGGAAGAGGATTTTCCTAAAAATCTTGTCCAGAGGATACTCCTCATGTTTTGTTGGACCAAAAAATTTCCCCCCTCATAGGCTACTCCACTACGTTTCAACGTGAAACCTCACAAAAAATATCCACGATTGGGATGGTGTTTCCCATGCCTCTTGATTAACTCATTTAATTTCATGATACCCGCATGATTAGCCTGTGTAGCCAAATAAATTTTCTCTTAATTAGGCGAAGCAAAGTGAATAACCTCGTTATACAACTCAAGGCAAATATGCCCACCTGAATTTGTGCTTTGTTAGAGTTCGTGCGAGGGGCGCTTATCAACGTTTTGAATCGAGAAGGGCTGCTTTAGCAATGCTGGCATTGAAATGTGTCTGGTGCTCATTCTAATTTTCAGAGGAGACCTAACTTGAGCCAGGTCACTCAATCCAGAATTTGTGACAATATTAAAGAGTATCTGCATCCAGGATGTTTGCCTTCCCATCAGAATTGAGGCAAAGTGTCCACTGGGTAGCAAAGTTATTTAGTACTCCTTTCCCTCATAATCAGTTTTAAAGTATGGCTACCTCTGCAACAAAACTGGATTGATCTTAACACTCCCACAAGTCCAAGCTTTGACAGGGAAAGCTTATAATATGCCTGAAAGAGTTAGGCGCTAATAATTGGCCGAAAACGAGTGCATTTTTTATGTACCACGAGTGCAAAGTTGTAATATGGGTGCGAATTTCAAATAGCGCGCGTGCGCTGTCAAAATTTGTCGGTCTTGACTTTCTGCGATGCTTTATTCATGTTATTTATTAATAAGCAATAACATGATTACTCGTGCAATTTAATGTAAATACGCACTTTAAAATAGTTCAAAGACGAAAATTCGCACTCGCTCGTAATTCTGGTCTTTAAATAATTTACTCGTATTTAATAACATCAAATTGCACTCGAAATGATGTTTTTACCTATACTTATTGATTGGGATTGGTACCTGTAGCATAGCTGCCCGAAGTGTCTGTTGAAGGTGTTACGCACATACTTGTCAATGTTATGCGCTTTAAATATTTGTCAATGCTCGTAATTGGCTATGTAATTTAGACTATATTTAAGACGTGTAATGTAGTTTGAATTAGAATGTATTTTGCGCATTTTGAGTGAACATTTAAAGTTTTGTTGGATACTTTTATAGTACCCTCAAGACTTAAGAGGAAATGAATATTACTTGAGAGGATTCTCTTTTCGAGAATTTGCCACGAACGCTAAAAAATATAACAAACTTATAGCAAATCTAATTCATATTGCTCCATACAGCTCTTTCTGAGCTCAATGGAGCAATATGAATTTTCTCTATTGTCGCAGGGTAGGAGGGGCAGCGCGCAGAATCGAAAACGAATCTTCCTAGGTCGAAGAAGTTTGCAACGGGGGCGAAGCTGTGAGAAATCACCAACTAAAATCACTTGTTTTCCGCTGAAGAGAAACTTTGATTCGCCGTGAGATG